TGAAGAAATACACAACATACATATATATGTGGTGGTACTAACTCCAACTCGGTTTTACAGTGAAAACTGCATGAACAGCAACCTGGTACTAGGAAACATATTGAGAAATCACAGTAGGTGTTTCTACTGCTACCCATTCTCTTTATACTACATGAACGAACGCCTCTACACACGCGCACATTGGAGGGTTGAATGTGTGTGAAAGCCGACAATCACCTAGCTTGTTGGGAACACACATTTCTTCTCAGTTGGAAACTACACTACATGAATATATATGTGAAGGTATTATTTCCAACTCGATTTTACAGTGAAAACTGCATCAAATTCAAACCGGCACTAGGAAAGGAACTGAGAAACCAGAGTAAGTGTTTCTACTGCAACTCATTCCCTTTATGCTAGATGAACGAACGCTTCTCCACATGCTCAGTTCTGAGAGTGAATGTGTGCAAAAGCCATATATCACTCAGCTTGTAGGGAACACACAGTTTCTTTTGAGTGGGGAGATACACTACATATATATATATATATAGGGAGGTACTAGCTCCAACTAGGTTTTACACTGAAAACGTCATGAACTTAAAACCGGCTAGGAAACATACGGAGAAACCAGAGTAAGTGTTTCAACAGCAACCCATTCCATTTATGCTAGATGAACGAACGTCTCTCCATGTGCTTAATACTGAGAGTTAAATGTGTGAAAGACGTCAATAACCTAGCTTGTTGGGATTCACATTTTATTTTCTGTGGGAAAATACACTACATACATATATATGGGGAGGTAATATCTCCAACCAATTTTTACAGTGAACACTGCAAGAACTTCAAACTGGCATTATTAAACATACTGAGAAACCAGTGTAAGTGTTTCTAGTTCTACCTGTTCTGTTTATGCTATATGAATAAATGTCCCTCCACATGTTCAATTCTGAGAGGCGTGTGTGAAAGACCTCAATCACATAGCTTATTGGGAAAACACAATTTCTTATCAGTGGGAAAAACAATAATAATATACATATGGGGATGTACTACCTCCAACACGATTTAACAGTGAAAACTGCATGAACTTCAAACCAGCATCAAGAAAAATACTGAGAAACCAGAGTAAGTGTTTCAAATTCATCCCATTCCCTTTATGCTTGATGAACAAACGCCTCTATGCATGGTATGTTTTGAATGTTGAATGTGCGCAAAAGCCAACTATCAGTTAGCATGTAGGGAACACACAGTTTTTTTGAGTGGGTAAATACACGACATACAAATATATGGGGAGGTACTAGCTCCTACACTATTTTACAGTGAAAACTGCAGGAACTTCAGACCGGCACTAGGAAACATCCTGAGAAACCAGAGTAAGTGTATCTACCGTAAACCATTCCCTTTATGCTGGATGAACGAACGTATCTCCACATGTACATTTCTGAGAGTTAACTGTGTGTGGAAGCAGTCATTCTGGAAGCTTGTTGGGATCACACAATTTCTTTTCAATTGTATACTACACTACATAGATATATATGGGGAGGTTCTAGCTCCAACTAAGTTTTACAGTGAAATCTGCATGAACTTCTAACTGGCACAAGCAAACAAACTTAGAAAATAGAGTAAGTGTTTGTAGTGCTAACCATTCTCTTCAAGCTAGATGAACAAACGTCTCTACACATGTTTAATTCTGAGAGTTAAGTGTGTGTGATTTCTGGCAATCATTTAGCTTGTAGGGAACACACAATTTCTTTACATTGGGAAAATAGACTACATAACTTTATATGGGGAGGGACTAGCTCCAATTCGGTTTTACCGTGAAAATGGCATGAACTTCAAACCGGCAGTAGGAAATAAACTTAGAAAGCAGAGTCAGTGTTTCTCCTGCAATCCGTTCCCTGTGTGCTAGATGAACGAACGTCTCTCCACATGCTCATATCTGAGAGATGAATGTGTGTGAAAGCCAACTTTCACTTAGCTTATTTGGAACACACTGTTGTTTTGAGAGAAAAACTGCACTACATACATATATAAGGGGAGGTACTGACTCCAAGTCGGTTTTACAGTGACAACTAGATGAACTTCAATCTGGCACTAGAAAATATACTGAGAAAGCAGTGGAAGGATTTTCAGTGCTAACTATCCTCTTTATGCTAGATGAATGAACGTCTCTCCACATGCTCAATTCTGAGATGAAGTGTGTGTGAAAGTCTTCAATCACCTATCTTGTTCGGAACACACAGATTCTTTTCAGTGGGAAAATACACTACATACATATATATGGGTAGGTACTAGTTCCAACTCTGTTTTACAGTGAAATCTGCATGAGATTCAAACCGGCACAAGGAAACACACTGAGAAACCAGAGCATTGTTTAAATTTCAAACCTTTCCCTTTATGCTAGATGAACGAACATCACTCCACATGCTCGATTCTAAGAGATAAGTGTGTGGGAAAGTGGACATTATGGTTGCTAGTGGGGAACACACAAATTCTTTGCAATGGTATATAACACTACATACATATATAAGGGGGAGATTCTAGCTCCAAATTGGTTTTCCAGTAAAAACTGCATGAACTTCAAACTGGCACTAGGAAACATACTGAGAACCCTGAGTAAATGTTACTACTACAAACCATTTTCTATATGGTAGATGAACGAACGTCTTTGCACATGCTCAATTCTGAGTGTTATGTGTGTGTGAATGCCGTCAATCACCTAGTTTGTTGGGAACACCCAGTTTCCTTTCAGTGGGAAAAACATTACATACATATATGTGGGGTGGCACTAGCCCCAACTCGTTGTTACATAGAAAACTGCAAGAACTTAAAACCCAGCACTAAGAAAAATAGTGAGAAACCAGAGTAAGTGTTTCAAATGCAAACCATTCCATCTTTGCTAGATGAACAAACATCCCTTCACATGCTAAATTCTGAGATTTAAGTGTGTGTGAAAGCCGTCAATCACCTAGCTTGTTGGGATCACACAGATTCTTTTCACTGGGAAACTACACTACTTACATATACCTGGGGATGTATGAGCTCCAACTCAGTTTTAGAGGAAAAATTGCATGAAAATCAAACCGGCGCTAGGAAAAATACTGAGAAACCACAGTAAGCGTTTTTATTGCAATCCATTAGCTTTATGCAAGATGAACGAAACTCTGTCCACGTGCTCATTTCTGAGTGTTAAATGCGAGTGAAAGCCACCAATCACCCAGCATGTTGGAAACACACAGATTCTTTTCAGTGGGACATTACACTACATATATATATATGGGGAAGAACTAGCTCCAACTCGGCTTTACAGTGAAAGCTGCATGGAATTCAAACAGGCACCAGGAAACATACTGAGAAATCAGAGTAACAGCTTTTACTTCAAACCATTCCATTTCTGCTAGATGAAAGAACGTCTCTCTACATGCTCAAATCTGAGTGTTCAGTGTGTGTGAAAGCCGTCAATCACCTAGCTCCTTGGGAGCACACAGTTTCTTTTAAGTGAGAAACTTCTCTCTATATATACATATGGGGAGGTAGTAGATCCAACAACGTTTTACAGTGAAAACAGCATGAACATCCAACCGGCACTAGGAAATATACTCAGAAACAAGAGTAACTGTTTCTACTGCATCACATTCCGTTTCTGCTAAATGAAAGAGTGTCTCTCCACATGTTCAATTCTAGATTTAAGTGTGTATGAAAGCCGTCAATCATCTAGCTTGTTGGGAACACACAGTTTGTGTTCAGTCGGAAAGTACACTACTTAAATATACATGAGGATTTACTAGCTAAAACTCGGTTTTACAGTGAAAACGGCATGAACTTCAAACAAGCACTAGGAAAAATTAGGAGAAAGCAGAGTAGCTGCTTATAGAGCAAGCCATTCCCTATTTGCTAGATGAACAATCGTCTCGCCAAATGCTCAATTCTGAGAGTTAAGATTGTGTGAAAGGCGACAATCACCTAGCTTGATGGGAAAACACAGTTATATTGAGCGGAAAATTACACTACATACATATACAATGGGGGTAATTGCTCCAAAACTCTTTTACTGTAAAAACTACATGAACGTCATTCCGGCACTAAGAAATATACTGAGAAACCAGAGTAAGAGTTTCTACTACAAACCATTCCCTTAATGCTAGATGAACTAATGTCTCTCCACATTTTCAGTTCTTAGAGTCAAGTGTGTGTGAAAGCTGTCAATCACCTTGCTTGCTGGAAACACCCAGTTTGATCTCAGTAGGCAACAAAATTACATAAATATATATGCAGAGGTACAAGCCCCAAAACTTTTAACTATGAAAACTGCATGAACTTCAAACAGGAACTATTAAATATACTAAGAAAAAAGGATAAGTAGTGCAGTTTCCACTGAAAAAATCTGTGTCTTAACAAAACGCAAGGTGATAGACGGATGTCACACACACGTAACACTCAGGGTTGAACATGTGGAGAGACATTCGTTCATCTAGCATAAATGGAATGGTTTGCAGTAGAAATATTTACTCTGGTTTCTCAGTTTGTTTCCTAGTGAGGGTTTGAAGTTCCAGCAGATTTCACTTTAAAACCTAGGTGGAGCAAGGTCATTCCCATATATATGTATGTAGTTTACCTCCTAAATGAAAAATAGCTTTGTGTTTCCAACAAGCTAGGTGAAGGACGGTTTCACACACACATATATCTCAGAACTGAGCATGTGGGGAGACGTTCGTTCATCCAAAACAAAGGGAACTATTTGGAGGAGAAACACATCTCTGGTTTCACAGTCTGTTTCCTAGTGTCGGTTTGAAGTCCCTGCAGTTTTCACTATAAATCTAGTTGGATCTAGTACTTCCCCATATATATGTATGTAGTGTAATTTCCAACTGAAAAGAAACTTTGTGTTCCCAAAAAGCTAGGTGAAGGAAGGCTTTCACACACATATATCCCTCAAAACTG